AGCCATTACGCCAACTGCTGGTCTCCATGATTATGTATATTTATAAATATATACAATTATATTTGTAATTTATTATAATCTTATAAATTTGCTGTTTGTGTTTATAGCACGATATAAAATTTATGCTATGAAAGTTACATACAAAATTCTTTTTAGAAGCCTGCCTGTGGTTTACAAATTTACTCTTATATTGTCCTCTGTGTTTCTCTTTGCGATCCATTCTGTTTTGTTCTTGAGAGAGGTTTTTGCCATAGGGCACATGAGCTTGCTAGAGAGAGACAGACAATGAGAGGGAAAGTGAAAAATCACCCCCCAAGGAGGACAGACACACCACAATCCCTTCTCCTTTATTCTCCTCCTGGGATCTATGCACACACACCCGGTGTGATTTTCAAGTCACTGGGTCCAGGACTCGAACCATAGTGGGTCATGTGGGAGTTTAGAGACATCACCACTACGCCACCTGCTGGTCCTTCCATTCTGTTCTTTTTCACCCATGAAAGGATGTGGTCTCCAAGGTCTTTGTAAGTAACCCAGAGATTGAAAGTATATCTCAACATGTAGTAGGATTGCAATACAGGAGAGATCTTTCCATAAAACTTCATTACTACCCTACATAGGCAGTAAAAGAATTTGTCAATGCACTTAGAGATAAGACTCAGTTCAGGCCCAGCCATGATAGCATGTGCTAGATGCTGCTGTTTGACAGGCTAAGGCCTCATGGGAAGTCCTGGTTCAAATCCCAGTACAATTTAAAAATCTCAAACTCATGACCAGTGTGGGCTGCACACCAAGAATCTGTTTGAAAGAGCTGGGTGTGATGGGATGCTCCCGTGGTCCCTGCTACTTGGGAGGGTTGTCACACGGAGAGACCCTATCTTCAAAAAACAAAAATAAAAAAATTCCATAAAAGAAGGAAAAGAAAGAAAACCCAATTCATTTACACAAAGAACATGATGCCTGTTCTCACAGCTTGGGAAGTCTGTGAGATCATTTCTCTCCTCATCATGTAAGTATGATCTGTTATTTAACATCAGTTTTATGGTGGTGTCCACCTGTCCATTCTCCTGTATTTTTTGAATGGAATAGTTGCTGATCTTTTCCTGTTCCTACACCTAAACTTACCCCTGAATCAGGTCCAAACATCTATTTCTGTCTGAAGGCTATGTCACATTGAAGCATCATTCTCTCTCTCTCTTTTTAAGGTTTTGGCCATAGAGCATGTGTGCTCGTCAGAGAGAGAGCAAGACAGAGAGAGGGAAAATGAGAAATCACCCCTCTTTCTCCTCCCACACAGCCCTGTATCTTCCTGTACCATTGTCTTGTTCACTGAGTTACCATTCTTTACAGAGTCAAGGTTCCTGAGAGGCAGGGAATGGCTTATGCGTCCCAACTATCTCCATATAGGTGGCTTAGCAGCATCTTTTTGGGGGGAGGTCGGGGGTGTGTGTAAATGAAATGAACAGAGGAGCATCCTGGATGATTCATACCTGCAGGAGTTGAGTGGCTGTGGCTCGCTGCTCAGGGCTCTTTACGAGACACTGCTTCACAAAATCCATGAAGTTATCGGACCAGAGTTCTGGCTTTCGAAATGTTGGGGGAGGGTTTGTAGGAATCATGAAGATTGCCTGATTAATAAAAAAGAAAGAAAGAAAGGTTTATTAAATAAAAATGATGCTCTAACAAAATAATGACTGGGATAGTTGACATTAACAAAGTGAGTCTTCTCTCATCCACTGATAAATCCAACAAAAGTTTATGTATCTCAAAGCAAGAAGTAAGGCATGAGATCCTGATGTCTCTCTCGCCCTCAGTTACATGCAGTCCTGTCCCATGCACCTCACAATCTCAATCCTTTTTTCTTTGCTAAGAACATTTGACTAGAACATTGCCTTTCAAAGAGGAAAGGCAAGATCTAAGCGTACCCGTATCGGCCTGATGCCATCCAGTTTCCCACCTCCTTCACAGGCACCATCACCTGCTGCATATCAGCAGACTGTGGTGAGCTCGCCAACCAGAAGTCCCCTAAATCACAAGGGCACCATTAACCTCCACCGCAAGCCAAGCCAACATACTTGCTGGGCGGAGGAAATGCTTAATGAGCACACTACATTGCAATTAAACTCTCTATTTCAAAAAAATAAAGCTATTATTTACTGAATTTTCAATAAAAGAAAAGCCATAGCTTTTGAAAAAAGAAAACTCTTTGCAATAAGCAGCTTAAATTATATTCTTTATCTCTAAAAATATAACTGGCAAAACCCATCCCTTCCTCACTTCTACCCCCAAAAAAAGGGAAGGCTTATCTTTGGGCACATGAATAATTTTTAAAACTGTTAAGTTCTTTAATAGGAGAACTAATTAAAAAGAAAAGAGTAAGGGCTAGCAGGTGGTGTGGTGGTTAATGCATTGGGTTCCCACATGGCCAACAGCAATTTGAGTCCCAGATCTGGTGGCTTGTTTTATCACTTTCTCACTGTCTCTTTCTGGTCAAACTTAAAGATACTAATAAATCTAAAAATAAAATAATAATAATAATAAAATTCAAAATAATTTTTAGATCAGAGGATGAAGTAATAGTTACGTCACTGGAGTCCCATATGACCAACCGTGGTTTGAGTCCCAGACCCAGTGGCTTGAAACTCACCCTGGGCACATGTGCATGTGTGCCCTAAATTCTGAGAGGAGAATGGAGGAGATCAGGGACTACAATGTGGCCATTCCCCCTGGGGAGTGATTTCTCACTTTCTGTCTCTCTAGCGAGAGCATGCAACCTATAGCAATAATCTCTCTCTTAAAAAAAAGAGTAATTTTTTTTAAAAAAAAGGAGGAGCTGGGACTGGGAGGTACAGAGAGGACTATGGAGCCCCCTGAAGAAGGTAGGGTCAGGGTCTTATATCAGCTCTGTGAACAGGGGTTCTGGGGGCCAGTAAAACCTGAGAACCCCCTGGGCACAATGCTGGCAAGTTTCATTGAAGATGGGCCCCTTAACACTCCAGAGATTACAGAGCTCAGAGCCTCCAGATGAAGAGACTGAGGAGCCAGGAACCAAAACACAAATTCCAGCCTGGCAGGAAAAAGATCAAATAAGTCAGAATCGATGTTAGTGACATGAGTTGAAAAAAATAGTTCGCAGGGTCAACCCTGCGGCCTAGTGGGTGTGGGATTCCAAATGGTTTGAATCCAGCCTTGGCGGCCTGAAAATCAGGCCAGCGCATGTGTGTTTGTGTACGCACATGCATGTGTACACCAAATCTCAATAGGACAAAGAGAAGGGGCTGCAATGTAAGCATGCTCCACTAGGGGGAGCATTTCCCCTCTCTCTCCCTCTCTCTCTCTGTCTCTGTCTCTTTCTGGAAATCAAAAAAATAAAGTGAGTGCCTCACCAGAACGTCCTGGATTCATGCCCGGAATGCACACATATACCCATAATCTAGGCTGGGTGAAACTGGAAGTGGATCACAGTGTAAAGACCCTGCTGGGGGTGACTAACTTTCTCTCCCTCTGATAGAAAAAAAAAAAAAAAGTAAAAATTGAACATTAGGGAAAAAAAAAAAAAGGCAGGGGCCAGCCCCATAACCTAGTGGTTAAGAAAGCCAGATCCCACGTGGCCAAATATGCTTCGACTCCTCACCCCCATCTCCGCCCCCACCCCTAGAGCAAAATCCTGATGGGATAGGGAAACGGAGCCGGCACTGTGGCATGAACAAACCCCATTGGGGATGTTTTCTCTCTGTCTCTCTCTATGGTGAGCACAAGCTCCCTCTGGCAATTAAAAACGAAAAAGCTAAAATTTAAAAAAACACTGGGATGGAAGCCAGCAGGTGGCATTGTGGTTCAGGCACTGAACTCCCACAGGGACACTCATCAGTTATAGGGAATTAATTTGTTTACTGGAAGCTAACCAAATAAGACATTGGACTAAGTTTCTAATGGTGATTAGCAACTAACCATCCCATTGGTTTTCTGCCCGTTTCCTTACCCTCATGGGATGGATATCGGCATACGGGGGCTTTCCTTCAGCCATTTCTATAGCAGTTATTCCCAGAGACCAGATGTCCGCCACACAGTTGTACCCAATTTCCTGAATCACTTCTGGAGCCATCCAAAATGGTGTCCCTATCACTGTATTCCTCTTGGCCATGGTATCCTGAAATAGAAAGGAAAAGAGACCAACACTAAGAACAAACGCTACAGAGAAAAAGGTATTTTCAACAATAAAAAATGACTTGTACTGAGACTAGCAGGCGGCATGGTAGTTAAGGCGCTGGCTCTCACAAGGCCAGCTGTGTGGTTTGAGTACCAGAACGGGCAGCCTGAAAAACACCCCAGGCTTGTGTGTGTGAGTGCACAAAATGGAGGAGAATGAAGAAGGGACTGTGGCATGGTCACCCACCCTGGGAGTGATTTCTCAACCTCCCTCCCCCCAGTCTCTCTCTGGCAAGCGCACATGCCCTATGGCAATAAAATCTAAAAAAAAAAAAAAAAAAAGAACTGAAAAACAATGCTACTGGAGTATACACTGGTAAAACCTCTAGTAAGCAAATTGACATATGTGTTAACTATTTAAATTTCCATATCCTTTGACCTATCCATTCCTAGAAATTTATCTTATGTGCAAGTGCCTCAAAACGTATGCACCCTGGGGGTGATTTCTCACTTTCTGTCTATCTCTCCAGCAAACACACACACCCTAGAGCAAAAAATCTCTCAAAAGTATTAAGAATAAATAATGCAAATAACTCTTTTTTTAAAAAAGAGAGAAGGAGGATATTTTTAAAAAAGAACTAAAGATGCAAAAGGCCTTCCAACTGCCATCACCAATATTTCTTTTTTTTTTTTTTTGGAGAGGTTTTTGCTATAGGGCGCGTGCACATGCCAGACAGAGAGAGACAGAGAGACAGAAAGCGAGAAATCACCCCCCCAGGAGGAATGGTCACGCCGCAATCCCTTCTCCTCCATTCTCCTCTCAGGATCTTGGGCACGCACGCACACGCGCCCGGTGTGAGTTTTAAGTCACCGGGTCCAGGACGCGAATCACAGCTGACTACGTGGGAGTCCAGCGACATAGCCATTACACTAACTGCTGGTCCCACCAACACTATTTCTTTTAAAGTGCCTGTGACTTAAATTAAGTTATGCCAGTCAGGAGCAAATGACAGGTAATATTTTTAAATAGACCTCACTCTGTCCGTTCAATGTAAAAAGCTGACACAGGAACTAACGTATTGCTTAGTCACTTCCTTGGCTCAGAAACTTAATATTTGCAGTGGTCTTTTCAAGCAGTGGTAGTCAAACTATCTGTTTTCACCAGATTATCTCAATTAGAAATGGGTATTTAGTTAGAAATTTTTTTTAAATTTGGGACCAGCAGATGGCCTAATGGTTATGTTGCTGGACTCCTACATAGACGACCACAATTTGAATCCCAGACCTGGCAGCTTAAAACTCATGCCAGGTGCATGTGCACCCAAAATCCTGAGAGGATAATGGAGAAAGGACTGTAATGTGGCCATCTCCCCAAGGGGATAATTTCTCATTTTCTCTCTCTGTCTTTCTGTCAAGCTCACATGCCCATAAGAAAAATCTCTCTTAAAAAAAAAAATTGTAAACTGAAATTATCAAGCAAAAGATAAACTATGCCACAAATAAGGATAAAAAAGGAGGGGCAGCAGGTGGCATGGTGGTTGAGGCACTGGACTCCCACATGGCTGACCACGGTTTGAGTCCTGGACCTGGCGACTTGCTTTCTCACTTTCTCTCTCTGGTGAGTGCATGTCACCTGTAGCAAATTTTAAAAATAATAATAAGTAAAATTAAACAAATAATTCTTTAAAAACAAAAACCAATGAGCATGTGGCTCGTCTCTGTAAGGTTGGCAGGTGGTATGGCGGTTAAGGTGCTGGACTCCCACGTGGCTGACCACAGTTCGAATTCCAGACCTGGTAGATTGTTTTCTCATATTTTCTTTCTTTCTCTCTCTGGTCAAAGTATATAATAACAATAATAAATAAAGTACATAATTCTGGGGAAAAAAAAAAAAAACTCTATCCTCAAATTACTACCTTATATTTTCACCCGAAGTCCAAGTATTCAAAATTTTAAATATAAAAAACAAAACTGAAAAAAATACTAAAAAAAAAAAAGTATAGATGAGGCCAGCCCTGTAGCCTATTAGTGGAGCGAGCCAGATCACATGTGGCCACCTGGGGTTCCTGTCCTGGCCCTGGTGGCTTGCGGACACACAGGGTACAGGCATGCGTGTCTGCAGCCCTGACGGGATGGGGAAATGGAGGAGAGGGTGATCACGCCCCATCTGGAGTGCTGTCTTCCTCTCCCTCTCTCACTGTCTCTCTTTGGTAAGACCATGACATCAAAAACAGAAACTGTAAGATAAAAGCGAGATTTTTTTTTTCTACAGAGAAAGAAAGAAACTTAGTCGTTGCCAGGAAGAGGGGACACTGTTGTGAAACTGCTAATGAGTACCGTTCACTTTGGGGAAGCTAAAGACGTTCTGTCTGGAATCACACGGCGGTGATGGCTGCACAGCTCCGCGACTACACTAGAAACACGATTACTAAAAAAAAAGGGGGGAATTCCGCAGGTGTGAGAGCAGTAAGCACATCACAAGTAATTTCTGAGTAATCAATTACTAAAGTTATTAAATATCATCGATATTCCTAATTTTAATATTATATTTTTATATTGTACCAGAAGCATATACTTTTAAATTTGGTCTCTTTATTAAGATTATAGTTTGGGGGCTGGCAGGTGGTGTAGTGGTTAAGGTGCTGGACTCCCATATGGCTAGCCACAGTCTGAGTGCTGGACGTGGTGGGGAACTTTCTTGCTTTCCCTTTCTCTCTCTCTCGCTCTCTCTCTCTCTCTCTCGCTCTGAAGTCAAATTTAAAAAATAATAATGATGATGAATAAAATGAAATAAAGTAATTCTTTTTAAAAAAGATTGTAGTTTAGATAATACTGTTTAGTATTGTTTTCTTAGGTGTTAACAAAATCTTTTGGAAAGCCTACAACTCATTTCACTGGTAAGCTTCTGATTTTTTAAAAACATTGAGGCAATTTCTGTGCTGTTGCAATATCTATGAGACTCTTGGGACGAGCAGATGGTGTAATGGCTATGTCACTGGACTCCCATGTAGTTGACCATGGTTTGAGTCCCGGACCCAGTGGTTTAAACTCATGCCAGGCACGTGTACATGCGTGCCCAGGATCCCGAGAGGAGACTAGAAGAGAAGGGATTGCAGCACGGCCATCTCCCCGGGGGGGTGATTTCTCTCTTTCTGTCTCTGTCTCTTCTGACGAGTGCACATGCCTGATAGCAAAAAACTCTCAAAAAAAAAAAAAAGAAAAAAAGAAAAATTATGAGACTCCTTGAGGTGTCCCAGGCAGATTTAAAATTAAAAAAATAGAAACTACACATAACCCCAGTGTAAACAAGCTATAAACTATATAAATATGTATGTGTACATATATATATATATACATATTTATTCAGGCATGCAAAAGCTACATGATATATAGCATTGTTGCAAATTTTAGTGTCTTTCTCTCTCTCTCAAGAACTGTGTCTAGTTTTCTAAATACACTTTCATATATGTTTATCTATTTTACAAAATCAGGTATTCTAAACATCCTGTTTTTTGTTCTTTTTTTTTTTTTTTTGAGAATTTTCGCTATCAGGCACGTGCGCTCGCCAGACAGACAGAGAGAGACATAGAGACAGAAAGCGAGAAATCACCCCCCAGGGGGGATGGTCACACCGCAATCCCTTCTCCTCCATTCTCCTCTCGGGATCTTGGGCACGCACGCACACGCGCCCGGCATGAGTTTTAAGCTACCGGGTCCGGGATGCAAACCACGGTCGACTACGTGGGAATCCAGAGACATAGCCATTACGCCAACTGCTGGTTCCCCTAAACATCCTGTTTTGATACATGAGTGTCTTCTGTCTTTTTTTTATTGCACTCAGGTAGGAGGAGATTTGAGAGACTGTATCCTGGAACCAAATGAGGACAGCATTTTCAGCACAGTAACTGTCAAGGACTACCCGGAAGGTGAATGAGATGATGTTATATCTTATTCAAGGAAAGCAATTTGGACTTAATTTTTCTTCCTTTTATAAATACACCAACGTAGTCCAATAGAATTTAAACTTCTATCATTTTTTTGTTTTAGTTTACATTTTTATAACAGTAAAACAGAGGCCAGCAGGTAGAGTGGTGGTTAAGGGCACTGGACTCCCACATGGCTGACCACAGTTCAAATACAGGACCTGGCAGCTTGCTTTCTCGCTTTCTCTCTTTCTCTCTCTCTCTGTCCCACTCTGGTCAAAATAAAATAAATAAATGTTAATAAAATAACTCTTTAAAAAATATAGTGAAACAAGTTAAACTATGTGACCTAGACCCCAGGAAAGAGTCTAAAGTAACAATACTAGCTTTTTTGTAACCTATTTGTAGATGCTACAATTTTTCACTAATAGAGTTAAGCCAAGAATAGTATGGGGGGGGGGGGGGAGTAAAAGGAATTGCTTCCCAGGACAGCTGAAAGCTAATCAAATACAAATAACATTTGTACTTACTGTAAGTTGACCTGCTACCCCAAAATCCGCAAGTTTTGCGTGTCCTTCTGTATTCAGCAAGATATTTCCTGCCTTGATGTCTCGGTGTATTTTTCTCATAAAATGAAGGTATTCTAATCCCTTAAGAGTTGACTGTAATATTGTAGCTATTTCATCTTCTGTTAACTGAAAACAAGAATAAATTCAAATCTGATAAATTTACAACGGCACCGTATATTCCTTGACTAGAAACATAAGATCTTATTCAACCGAGGAACAACACCGGAGCCTATGACAGTATCAGCATGCTGACCACCCCCAAAACTGTATTTCCAGTCAGTTCTCTCCCCAAACATCAGATTCACTTATCTGCCTAAACATCTCCAACTGGGCAGTCTGAGTGCCAGCCCCTGCGGCCTCAGGAACACACCAGCACGTATACGTGCATGCCTAAGATCTCAAAGAGGGAGAGATGGAGAAGGGACTGTGGCATGACCATCCTCCATGGGAGCTGCTTTCTCACTTCCTCTTTCTGTCTCTGTCTCTTTCTGGCAAGTACACATGCCTTCTGGCAAATTAAAAATAATAATCATAATAATATATTTTTTAAAAGCCCTGGAACCTAATTTTTAGTTCAATATGTTATTCAAGCTTTGGAATTTCTTTATCTATAACTTATGGTACAATACTATTCCTAGAACTTGTTATTTGATTAGGCAAACATACTGACTTTGAATAATGTAAATTAAGAAAAGGAGATAGTAGTGTGGATGACTGAAAAGTTATAACTGAGTTTTAAAATACCCCCACCTTATCATCTGTACAGCACCTCAAAATTTATTCTAAGTATTGTAAATATTCAAATTAATTTCTGTACACTTGGCAAATACTTAGTGTGGATATTATTGTTCCTACTTTCCATATTAAGACAAAAAATATGAAACCAAACTAAAGGCTAATATTTCTCCTGCTTCTATTCTCATCCACCCACAATCTATACAGAAGCAGGAATTATCTTTTTTTTAAGAGAGATTTTTGCTATCAAGGGCATGTGCTCGCCAGAGAGACAAAGAAAGACAGTTAGAAAGTGAGAAATCACCCCACAGGGGAAGGGCCACGCCACAATCCCTTCTCCTCCAGTCTCCTCTCAGGATCTTGGGCACGCACGCACACGCTCAGTGTGAGTTTTAAGTCACGAGGTCCAAAACTTGAACCACAGTTGACTACATGGGAGTACAGCAACATAACCATTATGCCATCTGGTCCCAAGAGTTATTTTTTTTTTAATGCAAATCAGATGGCTCACCCACTTGTTTAGTATCCAGCAAGTTTGCTATTACACTTGGAATAAAGTTCAAACTGATTGCCATGACGTGCAATACCTAAATAAGCTACCCCGGCCCACTCGTCCAACCTCACTACCTAGTTTCCCCTTTGCCGGTTCCCTTCCAGTCACAGTGGCCTTTCTGTCACTCAAACATGCCAAACTTATTACAGCCTCAGGGTCTTTGCACTGGTTATTCCCCACCTAGAATGTTTCTTCAGGACTCTTAGCTCCTTCCCATCATTCAAGTCTGACTTATTATTATTATTTTTAACTTGCCAATGGAAGCATGTACTTGCCAGAGAGAGAGACAAGAGCGAATAACACATCCCTCCCTCCATGGGGCATGTTCACACACCTGCTATGGGGTATGGTCACACTGCAATCCTTCTCTATTTCTTCTTCCTTTCACGATTCTGGGCATATACACACATGGGCCTGGCATGGTTTTCAAGTTGCCAGGTCCAGAACTCGAACTACATGGTCAGCCACATGGGATCCAGCCACCTTAAACACCAGACCACAGACTGGCCCTCAATTTTACTTTAACTGTTACCTCCTCTGAATGACCTTCCTCCACTATCTAGCCTAAAGTAGCAATTGAACACTACTCCTCTACCGTCACTTCATCCTTTTTCATCTTCCTCAAAGACTTTATCACCACGTAGCATTTCTTTTCTAGTTACCATTAATCGGGTTTTAGTCGCCATACAAGAAAGTGCACTACCATAAAAGCAGTGTCACGGTCTAACGTGTTTACTACTAGAACCCTAGGCCTAAAGCAATTGCTATGGTTTGAGCACATTCCCAAAAACTTTATGTGTTGAGACTCGGTTCCTTCTGTGACAGCATTGCGAGGACACTTACTCTGACTGTGAGATTCAGAGACAGAGCCTCTGGGAGGTGACTAGGGGAAGGCTTCCATGACTGACTCCTGGTGGCCGTGTAGGAGGAACGCACCCACACAGACACAGCTCTGCTCTTGCCGTTTCACCACGTGATGCCGCAACCCACCAGAGGACCTCCACCAGATGTGGTCTCTTGACCTCCAAAACGGTGAGGTAAATAAACCTCTATTTCTTATAAATTCCCCAAACTCAGGTATTTCTGCTGTTAGCAACACAATGGACTAGAATGGCAAAGGTCTAGAAGTATTTACTGAGTGAATAAGTGAAAAGTTTAAGTAACTGAACCGGAACTAGAACCTATGACCCCTAGGTCTTATTCCAACAATCTTAGTAACAGCAAATAATCTTTCATAGTAACATTATTTTCTGATTAATAAGAAGTACAGGAAGTTGCTCTGACAATACGCTGGTAAATGGAGAAATCCAAACCCAGATATAAACATTTTAAATGCCCTCTATAACTAAGACAAGAAAGTCATATTTTCCCCCACTAAGAAATCAGCAAAGCATACTAAAATCACTGGACTGAGTTGGTGTCAAAACTGTCACATTGGGACCAGCAGGTGGCATGACAGTTTAGGCACTGGCCAATCACAGTTCAAGTCCTAGACCAGGCAGTTTGAAAATTCTGTCAGGTATGTGTGCATGCATGCCCAAAATCCCAGGGGGAGAGTGGAACAGAAAGGACTGCGGTGTGGCCATCTCCCCAGGGGGTAATTTCTTACTTTCCCTCTCTTTTGTCTCTCTCTAGCGTCCTCTGGCAAAAAATCTCAAAAACATTTTAAATGCTGCTTTTATGGTACATTAAAGAACTAAGGAGGGAAGAGCCATGGAGAAGGGCGGATTTGACAGTCACCACCAGATACAGTAGTAGGAGGATGCACACAAATAAAGGCCAGAGAAAAGAAGATGGCATGAGAGACTAGCTGAGCTGAATTGTTCTAGAAGGGAAACTTACCGTTTTATTTCGTAGCCGAATGATATCCGATACAGAACCAGCCCCACAGTACTCCATGACAATCCACAGGTCTGTGTTCTTAAAATAACTGCCATAATACTTGACTACGTGAGGGCTAGAGAGAGAGACAAATTAGTCGGACAGCTTTTAAACGTCTCTATTAATTCTCTAATTAATTGCTAAATATATGAAAGCTTATTCTTCATCTCAAAAGACCAATTATTCATAACTAAGATTAAAATGGGCCACCTTGTGATAAGAATACAAACAATATAGCTTTTCTGCAGTGTAATAAATAACAAAAGTACAAAAATGGGTGGTCCTTTAACAAGCATTTCTAAGTCTACAATTTATCCTTAGGAAAGAACTACAGATGGTCCAGACCAGCAGGTGGCGTGGTGGTTAAGGTGCTGGATTTTCACATGGCCAACCATAGTTCAAGTCCCATGCTTGATGGCTTGCTTTCTTACTCTTTCTCTCTCTGGTCAAATTAAATAATAATAATGATGATGATGATGAATAAAATTAAATAATTTTTGAAAGAAAAGAACTACAGATGTTCAAAAAGAAATAGTTACCATCACAGAACTATAAATAAAAGTGAAAAATTACAAGCATCTAAACATCCATCCAACATTAGGGAGATTATTTAAGAAATAATGATATATTCTTACAATGGAATATCATGAATTCATGAAAAATTTTTAGAAGACCATCTGATAACATGACATGAAGCCCTGTTTTTTTTTTTTTTTAAAGAATTATCTAACTTTATTTATTCATTCATTCATTTTAATTTGACCAGAGAGAG